CCCCCCCCCCACCCCCCCCCCACCCCCCCATGGTGCGAGACACAGACACATTTCTGTAGAAACATTATTTCGTCAACGCGAAACCTTTGTTATGTGAGCGAACCTCACCTCCCATCGCCAAACCTCCGTGCCACTTGCGTTTAACCTTAGTGCCACGAACCCGCCGCCGGAATTTCCGCTCAAGACCACCGAACCATCTCCTTGGATTGCCGCCCCTTCCAATGTATCGTCTTCAGTAGTGCCATCCTGTCGCCACGTTCGTTCATACGGCCGAGTACGTTCTTGTTGCATTGGTTGGGCCATCAAATAAACAACCGTTTCGATACCTGCTGGTAGACTCTTCCGACATAGATATCGAACCAACTGATGCGGGCTCCTCCCGAAACCACAGGCAAACTACCCAAAAAACGGGCCAACAGAAAAAATTTCAAGCAAGTGCGCGCTGGACTTGTGGTTGATGTGTCGATATTGCACGCTCAAGTGTTCCAGGATCGAGGGTGGGCCGCCGTCACACAAGAACAAGACAACGACCAGGTTGCGTCAAAACTATCTCAAGATCCTTTGCCCCTAGATACCCGTGGGCCGTGACGCTCAAGGAGATCGCCCCCTTGCAGTCGGACCTAAGACCGGTTTGTCTTGGGGACACACAGAAGATTGGCATTGTTGCGGCAGGCATAAAACCGAAGTCGGTTTTTGTGAGGTTGTATACATCGCCGACACAACATCCGTGATTCTCTCTCCAGCCGGTTGTGGTTGGTCCACCTCGTGAAGTTCCTCCCCTAGGAGCGAACGAAGGCGTGGGCCAGGAAAACAAGCACTCACCTGCCATCGCCAAATCTCCTTCCCATCAGAAGAAAGCATCACCGCGGCGAAATCCTTGCTGAAGCTGCCGTCTGCGTTGTCAGAGCTCCAGCTCCCATACGTGTGTCCGGCGAGCACCGCCGACCCATCATCAGAATGCACAACGGCCTCGACAAAATCGTCCTCGGCGGTGCCGTCCTGTAGGGGAACGGGAGACCATCAAAGCCCGTCAACGAGCATCCTTCGGCCGGCGTGAACAAATTTATTCCCATTACCTGCAAAGACTTCAACACATGCACATCGACTATACTTCTATTACCTCGAACGGGTTCAATCTTTCTTTCCTTGTCTGCACTTTTTCTAACAAATCTTCCCGAGGCACGTCACCGCGCCGCGTCATACAATCGTGACCCGTTGAAAACGGCCAAGTATACGTCGCAGACTCTCTTCGCGTTGCCGCACGAGAGCAAGCGCAACGTGGGACGGCCGCTTGCGGACGGCACACAACCCGCGACGGCAAAAAACTAACACAGAGAAATCGTACGTCTCATTCGGATTGCCATTTCCTCAGGTGACCGACGTTGAACACGCCTCGACAAAGTCTCCGTCTCTGCGGGGCCGGCAAAATGGCGCCATGTTTGAAACGCCGAGCGACCGCCGCCCGAAAAGACAGGGCCACCCACATGCCTCACGAAAGCCCTGTGGTGCACACGCGACACCGCGTGCATTCTCGAGAGTATGTTGTCCCTGTGTCGTACCGGTCGCCCCTTCATCAACAACAAAGATATACCGTAATCATCGGGGTCTTGGCACACTGTGCGGTCGCTTTTTTAAATGCGTCGAACTTCAGACTTTTTTCGCACAGGTGTGCGAAGACCCCGATATGTGCGATCCTAACATTGAAAACCACAGGGGATAGCAGCACTTCGCGTGTGTGGTGNCCGATATGTGCCAAGTTCGCGATACCTGTGCGGAAATGCAGTAAATATTTGGGTTCTGAGAAACAACGCACACCCCTGTGCCAAGACCCCGATATGTGCGATCCTAACATTGAAAACCACAGGGGATAGCAGCACTTCGCGTGTGTGGTGTTGCTGCAACACGATCACAACACAACCAACAGACAAGCTAGTAGCTGCACACACAAACGAGCCTCGGGGAATTGCCACCACAACAGTTCCGTGGCGGAGACATACCGGCGGAAAATCGGGAAAATGCCCGGGACGGAGCTGCGGGTCGACCACACGCAACGCGCGGCTACGATGTCGGAGGGTGCAAGCGCGGGACCTGCCGACGCCTCACAGGCCTCACAGGCCTCACAGGCTAGTGCTGGCGGTCCTTCCTCTGCGGATCAGGGAGCTGCCTCTGCGGGCCCGAAGGCAACCGGCGAGGCTATCGATGAGATGCTAGCCGCCAACGACCCCGTCAAAAACAGCAACGGCAAACGCGCGTACCCGGAGCCCAACTTCCCGATGGAGCGGTCAGGAGCAGTGGGAGGGAAAGGGAGCTACCCCATCCGGTTCAACCTGAAGGCGGCGGCCTACACACGGGAGATCTGCCCGTGCGACGGTCAACCGGTGGGAATCAACGGCGCGGCGAAAGTTCTCCAGGTGCCTCGGAAGCGTATCATCGAGTGGCTGAAGCAGGAGGAGCAGCTCAGGGAGAAGGTCAGCGCCAATCCCAAGCTTTCGAAGGCCAAGCAGGTTCACAGCGGAGGGAAAGCTTCGACAATCGACGCCGAACAAGCCCTTGTGGACTACATCAACGAGCAACGCAAGCAGCACCGCGGTTGTGGTAATCGGGAGGTGATGAACAAGCTGCTCGAGCTGAAGCCTGACGCCCTTGGCGGGATGCCGGCGAACGCGAAACCGGAGGAGGCGCTGGCTTTCAAGGTCAAATTCAACTCCTGGTACCAACGGTTCCGCAAGCGGAATGGGTTCAGCATCCGCCGGCGTACCAGCGTGGGCCAGAAACTGCCGAAGGGGTACAAGGGTATGGCATGGGCGACGGTGATGAAGCTGCGCGAGGCTCTCGTGAAGCGCGCCGGTGAGATTTACGCTCGGCGCCACCCGCCCNTCCGCCGGCGTACCAGCGTGGGCCAGAAACTGCCGAAGGGGTACAAGGGTATGGCATGGGCGACGGTGATGAAGCTGCGCGAGGCTCTCGTGAAGCGCGCCGGTGAGATTTACGCTCGGCGCCACCCGCCCGCACCTGACGAGAGCCCCATCAAAGGGGAGGATCTGACTTCCGAGCAGCTGGCGTCTGTGGAGGCGGAGGTTTTCGAGGAACTCGGCAACATGGACCAGACGCCAGTCCAGCACGAGATGCCGGTGGAGACCACTCTGAAGAACCGGTGCAAAGGATGCTCGCATCAGCACAGGAGGTGAGGGCGAGCTAATATTTTTGTCAAAATTTTGTGTGGTGTGTGGATTTGTTGTCGTTGGACAAGTTTTTAAGACACATGCTTTCTTTTTGCGTGCCGGTACACGGTGCGATGTAGCTCTATCGGTAGACTCAGGAGGGTTGCTACGTTGTTCTGCGGGATTATTCGACACTTTCGTTTTCAATGCATCCAAACTAAATTAGTTTTCGAAACGTCCGGTACCGTTTGCATCCATTGTATCGACCACACGCCGNTGAGCGGCAAGGGCAAGAGCACCCTGCCGCGGAAGAACTCCGTCGCGGGGGAGATCCATCCTGCGAACCGCGCCAAGCACGGCCACCCTGCCAACGGCATGTCCTTCGGCGTGCAGGAGAAGAGCTGGAGTGACCAGCGGGAGTGCAACGGGTGGATCTCGAGCAGCTGGAAGCTCCGTCCCAACAACGGCAGCATCGTCCAGCAGCGCCCGTGCATCTTGGTGCTGGACGACTTCAAGTGCCACAAGGATGAGGGTTTCATCGCCGCCCTCAAGCGAAACGCCAACACCATCGTCATCTTCATCCCAGGCTGGTTGACGCGCTTGCTCCAACCGCTCGACCGCATGCTCAACAAGCAGATGAAGCGGCTGCTGCGGGGCAAGTTCACCGCCTTCAGCGCGTCGGCGGTCGCAGACGCCCGGTCGGGGAAGCTGAAGCCACCGGAGCGTGGGGTCGTCTCTCCGTGGTGCAAGGAAGCGTGGGAGTCCATCACCCCCGAGACGGTGAAGACTTGCTTCAAGATCTGCGGTCTCACGCTCGCGCTCGACGGCAGCGAAGACCACGCCTGGTGCGAGCAAAACTTCGGGGAAGACTACTGCAACCTCCTCGAGGAGCAGCACGCCGTGTGGCTCGCTGAGCACCCCGACGTGACTCTCCCGCCGCTCAAGCTGCCGAAGGTACCAGGGGGGTTCGACTCCAACCCCATCACGGCTGCTCAGAAGGAGGTCGAGGGGAAGCTGCTGCCCTACGTCGCTGATGAGAGCGACAGCAAGGTGGAGGTCTTGGAGGGCGACAGCGACGTGGAAGTCGTGGAGGGGCAGGGGGGCGGGGGCGCCGAAGGAGAAGTAGTCGAACTTGAATCATACGTTCTTCGGGATTGCCAGTGAGATTGGATGTTTTTGCGATGGTAGGGGCGCGGGCACGAAGTGGAGTTCAACCTGCCTAGGAAATACAGTATTAGGACGTTGGTAGCTCGTAGTGGTAGTTTGGTGTGATTTTTGACTTCGTTTTTGGTTTCATCTGCGTTTAGAATTGTTGAGTGGATGCCGTTTGCCGATTTGCCGATCTTGATTGTCAGAACGAAAAGAAGAGACAAAGAGTACAAATACCACATTTTTGAACATTGTCATGATGCCAAGGGCAGCAGTAGCAGTGGAGCACGCGATTCAAGCTCCCACAGTTTCCGGAATTTCCAGCAAAAGATGCTGGTGAAAGGGTATCACTTACCGCCAAACCTCACCGCACATATCGGCGTCTCCGCACATTGTGCGGGGACGACGATACCTGTGCGATAATCTAGCAAATCATTCGGAACCCGCTGTGTTTCCGCACACCCTGTGCCAAGACCCCGATATGTGCCAAGACCCTGATGATTACGGTATAGCCCCCGCCAGTCAAACCGCACGCTTGTGCCAGGGTGAGCGCTGACCTGCCACCGCCAGACCTCTGTCCCCGAGTCGTCTAGCTTCACGGCGACGAAGTCTGTTCCCCCCGCGCTTGTACCGTTGAAGTCTCCTGGCGGCGACAATGGAGAGGCGCGTGTGCTTGTTTCATTGAATGTGTGTGCGTGTGATTTCCTGGGAAGGAAATTTTTTCCGGGAAAAAACTGCGGACCCTGAAGATGGCCAGGTTTCATTTAAATCCCCGACGCTCCGCGGGAGTTTCTTCGAACGAGAACTTGGAAGAAGACATAGGGGGGGGAGGTGCATCGATATCATCATGCCTGACGATTGGCAGGGACGTTGAGGATTGGAGAAGAGGGGGGTAGTTACCCGCTGCGTGTCGCTGTTGTTCGACCATTGGCCGGCAGATGTACCTTCGCCGTAAATAGACCAACTACCGAGAGTGTCAGAGCGGACGTGAAAACATACGTGTAAGCCAAGCCGAACGAAACAATAGCTAGGTGAGAAGATAAACCGCGCTACTGCGCAACCTTAGGTAGCGGTTAACCCAAGTCATCGCTGACTTAGCAGTCGAATGGATTAGCCTTTGCATATCACGCGATACGTTGGCCTTGGCTGACTGAGCAATCCAATTGACTAAATAGCCGTTTTCTACAACGCAATACGTTGGCCTTTGTAACGCAACACGTCGGCCTTACCGGTTGTTCGGCCGCCAAGGACAAAGCTGCCGTTGGCCGGGGCGATTGAGGACACGGCGTCGAGCCCGTCCGTTGTGGCCTTGCAGAGTAGCGGCGGAGGTAGCGGAAGCACAAAAAAAAGTCATCGAACCACGTCGGCTGTGCGAGCAAGGCATACGACACAACTGTTGAGATACGCTTCATCACACCACCCTGTTCCTTGACAACTGAACCAAAATCTATACGTGGCGTGCACTGGGGTCGTCCACGAAGCTACTGCGACAGCATCTCTGTGCTGCCGAGCCCAGCGACCGCCACGCAGCGACCGCCACGCGGTGCGGCGGATCAACCCCTATCGTGGGGGAAGGGACCTTTTTCACGAGGATGGAAGAGTTGACCAATGAATTAGGGAGGGGGGATTCGTGCCTCTATCCCTAACCCTAACCCCCAACCTCACCCTGTACTCTACACTAAAAAACAATCCAAAATCCTTGCAAAGGCTATGTATACCGGGGGGGAAGCCTGCAACAACGCCGCTCAGAGAATCAAACGAAATACCAAGAGCACAGCTCCTCCTCAGGAAAGCTGAGGACCTCGAGACTCACCTGCCATCTCCACGTGACGTTCCCAGAGCTATCCAGCTTGCACGCGGCGAAGTCGGTCCCGGCGTCGTCGAACGCGAGGCCTCCCACAAGCACGCCGCCTTGCTGATCGACGGCGATCGCCTCGGCCAGTCTGGAAGCGTTGGTATCGTCATCCTGGAAGCGGTCGTCGGTGAAACCGCGGAAAAAAGAGCGGAGCTAATTCTCGAAAACCAACATCGCGGATATTGCGCTCGGCCTTTCTCGCCCTCGAGGAGGATGTAGCTGATACGGTTTGTCGGTGAATAACTGCGTACCAAGCTCACTTTCTGGCGTGTGGGATCGACACATCCAACAGGAAAGCCGGCCTGGTCATTGCGGGAAGGACTCCCCACTGAGGTCGCAGCGTGACCAGTAGGCTATTTTGTATGTCCCGTCATCGCGTCATCTGTCTCCATCTGCGTGCCACCCTCCTCGCCAGGGTTGCTTACCTTAGCGCAGCATCGCCCACGGTGAGTGCGAAAACAGAACCCGATGATCATAGACAACTGTACGTACCTTCCACTGCCACAGCTGACCACCGTCGCCCGATAGCTTGATGACCTCAAACTGGAATGCAGCAGATTCTCCCCCTGTTGTCGAAGAATTCGACCATGACCCCGAGCTGGTGGCTGAGCTCGTCTGAACATCCAGCGCCAAAAATATTGACCCGTCTTCCCCGGTTGCGACGGCAGTGACGCTGTCGTATCCGCTCCCGCCTCCCTGTCGCAAGTTTAACGTGCCAGATATACTTAGAAAAAGCATAGCTTATTTTTCAACTGTGGGGACGCAACAGAAAGAACGAAACTCTCCTCGAACGTGACCACGAGGTAGTAGAGGTTACAGCAGGATATCCTACAGTTTCAGGCAATCGGGGACTTGCTTCATCCCCCAGCAGCCGCGATTATGGTGGTTGGTCGATCGATGCCTCTTGAGACTGCTGCTGTCCAAAGCAGGGTTGGTTTCGAGCGAACCTGGATACTCCACAGCTCGTTCCCGTCGCTGTCAAGCTTAACCGCCACCCAGTCCGATCCCCCCGCGTTTTCTGCCGCCCAATCTCCCAAGGTGAAACCTGCGCGTCAAATTTGGCGCCCGGGTGCCCACAATCAATAACAGATCGTCCGAGATCAATACCCACAGTACATGAAAGATTTAGAGAGAATACTAGTACCGTTTTCATGCACTCAATGTCGCTTCTCTTGTCTGCCAGCATGCGGCAGAGTCGCACGAGCCCAACCAATACCGCGGACATATATACTCCGCGTGCTCCAGCTTAACCATGGAAACCAACCCACTGGGGTGTTCCGTCAAACGTTTCCCAGATACGCAACGGCACCTGCCTGCGAGAATAGCGGTTTCACTTGAAGCGCTCTCCGGGCCCAGCGAACAGCCCGTCAGAGAGTCTTCGGCATCAGTTCCGTTCTGCGACATGCAAAATTTGACGGTGGAATAGAAAAAGTGTGGCGACGACGGAGAACGCGACATGATGTTGCTTCACTGCTGTCCAGACCATGCTGACCTCTATCCGGTGCCTCAAGTTTTTACAACTGCTTGTAGCGGAAAAAATGTCCGTGGTCACAGCACAGCCAAACTAAGCACACACGCGAACTACCTCATGACTTAGGAAGTTGCAGGTCTCGAACGCACGAAAGAATATCCCGGAGTCGAGAAACAGCCAAAACAGCGGGTGCTGAAAATCGATCTTAGGGGTCATCGGAGTCCCGACATAAATTCTCCGTCAGCACGGACGTTTTGGAGCTTCGGAACGCCTGATGAAAACTCTCATAGTACGTACTGCTGTTGGGGCTGTGCTGCTGTCTGAGGCTGCAGCTGCGGTGCGAAAAGCCTGGAGAATCTCTCTCGGCTGTAATCAGTCATGAGTCTGCCGCGCTCGCCTCCACACAAACTGAAGGACTGTAGCAGCGGTGGCCTTTGACGAACGAAGGTTGGGGGCTGGTGGTGGCGAGTGAGGACGTGTCAAAATGTGTTGTTTGGATCACACTGTACCCCGGCGGAGTATTTATTTGAACCCATGTGCGGCCTCTTCAATGCCACACGGCGTCAGCATATAGGTCTGGGCGCGCCGCCGTGCATGCCGCTGCTTCATGGTGTCCTCCACGGATAAAAGCGTTCCAGGCTGGGACTGCACTTAGCCGGAAGATCACTGATTGTCGATCCGTTTTTTTTGTTTGTTTCGTTTACTTTACAACGAAGCATTCGACAGCAATAGCAAGGTTCTTTGTATGACCTACTGCTGCACCTGTCTTTACACAGGCCTCCGTTTGTATTTGGCCCGGGTTTCATCTTGATGGATGTAGAACAGTCTTGTTTATAACAACTGATGGTGTTTGTGCTGCGAAGTGGGGACGCCTACAGAACTCTGGGCAGGTTGCGTAGGATACCAGACACCCCTTGACAGAGATTTTCCAAGGCCGATTACTCCGCAGCGAAAGAATGTGGCGGTGTCGAAAACGGCGTCTCGTCGAGAGCTTTCAGAAAACGCATCATTTGACACGTGGGGGGCATCCTCTTCGTCCTGGAGAATGAAATCGGACTACGACAATCCCTCAAGGGGTGTGGTATCTTACGTATCCCACGGTAGCTGGAGCACCTACCGCTACCGCTACCGCTACCGCTACCGGTACCGCTACCGCTACCGCTACCGGTACCGCTACCGGTACCATGCGGTCCCTGGGACTGCTGTCACATAGCCTCGTGCGATTCGACACACTGCCATACTGCCACATTGCCGAAAACGCAGGTTCATGGGGCAAGCCACATCTACTTGGAAGAGCCGAGAATGACATTCGCTTTTTACACTGTTGGAGAGGTTGTGAAGGCAAAAGGAGCGGCGCGTTCGCACCAGGTTTCGCAACTGCTGCTGTTGTAGCCTACTACGCGCCGTGTCCAACAACAGAGATAGAAATCAGCGTCAGTCAGCCGTCTTACGCAGGACTGGCGAAAGAGAGCTGCCTACTGCCGTGAAGGCCGGCACTGCTGTTGAGCTCGTGACAAGAACGTGCGTAGAATATTGTCGGCATGGGTGACGGCGGTGATAGAAAGGTAAAGGTGGGAACTTGTTCCTGCTGTAGCGTACCCCCTGCGCCAGTGTTGTCAGACAGACTGATTTCACGGTGTTCTACTGAACACCTACATACTGCCGTAGACATAACAACCAGTTCTTCAGTACAAGCATTGTGCCCACGGTGGACGTGTGCACCCACTGCTATCTATGGCAGATGCGAACGAGACGCATCGACGCAACAAGTGGGGTGCGGATGAAACACATCGGCTAATAATTGGACCGCTTTCAGCAAATGGTGCACGCGGTGTGCTGATGAGAGCGGGTGTGGTGTTGTTCCCCGCACATCGATATGGTCCTGTCGAGGGTGAACCGACCCCCAGGAACCCGTCGGATTCGCCTCTGTGTTCTTTTTCTGCGGTGTCCTCCTGTGTGGAGAGGTACCTACATACCCAGCACGAAGCCAAGAGGAAGCTACACGGCTTGTCTTGCCGAAGTACGCTCTCGCACCTGGTACCGCCATAGCTCCTCGGCCATGATCACCCTGGCACACTTTGAGTAGTGTGTTCGCACACACACACGGCGCCAAGCTCGGCGACTCTCCCGTGCTTGTTACACCCGTTCACCGCCTGGACAGACTACAGGGTCAGTCGAAGTGTTTGCAAGCTCCGCTGTGTGTTGTTGGTTGCGTGAGGGGGTCCGTCGGTCCGTTGGCCGTTCTTGACGGCAGCTAAATAGTGAACAGAATGTTCTTCGCCCCGACATCGCGCCGCAGTATGCAGGGTTGCATGAGATACTTCCCCCTCCCCCCCAACCCTGGGAGCCGGTATACGAGACCCTAGGGTCCCGTATATAAAACGCGACCCTAGGGTCTCGTACATTAAACGCGACCCTGGGGTCCCGTATATAAAACGCGACCCTAGGGTCTCGTATATTAAACGCGACCCCTGGGACAAGACAGCCGCTGCATTTTGTGGCAAGCGCTCGCCCCACAGCCCTCCTGGATAGCTCTCGTCCCCTCCACACCACTTTGAGACCTCTGAACGTGAGTATGGCTGTGTTTGCGCGCAAAAAGAGGGGCAAACGGTGCAGAAATCGCTCCCCAAGTAGTCTTCGATGTCTGCGCACTTTTTGAACTGCTGCTGCTCTTCCCGCCCTTTTTGAACTGCTGCTGCTGTGGGTAGCCTACTGCTGCTGTATTACAAGTAGGTAGACGGGCTGTGCGAATAACGCCGTACAAGCCCTACAAGAAAGCAGCGTGCTTGCGAGACAAGAAGTCTAAGATTGATATCCGTCCGACATCCCGGGTAGAGTTAGGTCTGTTCGTAAGTCTACATATATGTACATGTTGGACACATGTTTTTCATGTGTCGTGGTGCGGGACCACCCACCGCGACGATGCTGCTGCTGTGGGTAGCTTACTGCTGCTGTAGGACAGGTAGGTAGATAGGCTGTGCGAAGAACGCCGTACAAGCCCTACAAGAGGGCAGCGTGCTTGCGAGACAAGAAGTCTAATATTGATATCCGTCCGACATCCCGGGTAGAGTGAGGTCGGTTCGTATAGTCTACATACATGTACATGTTGGACACATGTTTTTCATGTGTCGTGGTGCGGGACCACCCACCGCGACGTGCGGCTAGGTATGCTACTCCAAATAGTAGATATAGGAAGTATGGGCTAAGTATTCTTGTCCGGGTTCTCTCGTCGCGGAAACGCGCAGGACGATGCGGCCCACGACAACTCTGCGCCAGAACCTTCATGAAATCGACGCAAAGGTGCAGGCTCTTCTCGAAAAGAAGGGAGGTGAAGCTTTGAAGAAGAAAGGACTGCAGCAGGAAGATTGTGCGAAGATCGTCGCGTTCGCCGCTAAACTAAAGGACCCGCTGGACGGGCAGGACCCGTCGCCTATACCACCGGTACGCCGTTTTTCGATGTTGCGCCTGGTTGTTGCAGAAGCACCTTTTGGATGATCGGACGGGAAGCAACACGTAGCATTGACGCAGTAGTCATTTTGTTGTCCCCCGCCTAGATCAAACGACGAAATTACGCCGTGTGTAATCGTGAATATTGATGCAGGGCGGCAAGCTACCCTTTGTTGGTAGTAGGGAGGAAAATGTTGACCGGTTCGCCGCCGGGATGATAACTGGGGGCAAGTTCGAAGACGGTTCGGGCAGAGGTTTTGTACCCCAACAGACAACGGGCGACGGTGCCTGTTTCTTTCATGGGATAGCAAACGCCGCCTTTGGGATGAAGTGCAAGGCAAGGCGGGGCGTCCTTGCCTACGCCCTTCCCATCCGCCTCGCTTGCCTCAAAACCGCTCTAGCGAACATGGAGGCCATGTTGAGCATGGACGGATGGGGGTGGTTCTACCGCAGTCTACAACCGTACGACATGCTGGTGATGAACAGGGCGTTGGCCATCGACCTGGATGTCCCCGCTGATGGCCTCCTCCCTATCGAGACCGCCCGCGTGATGTACCTCTTTGGGGTCCTGGAGTCGGCAGGAGAGCTAATGTATACGCAGCAGTTCTGCTACCCTCTCGTCGCGGAGACCCTACAGCTCAACCTCAGAGTGTTCCACCCAGGTGGGTCCGTTGCAGGCGTCTGTGTTATATGTTACGTGGGGAATGTAACATAGAGGATGAAACAACTCAATGTGGAAGCATTCTCGTTTGCGCCGATGATTCCGACCACACCTGCTGTTACGTCGATGTGTATGCCGCAGTTTTGTCCGTGAACAGGTTGGCGCACAATTCGTGGTGCCACCACCTGTTTACGCCAACTATCGCATCTCGCCGGGCCCGGTCGGCCACGCCGACCGTGTACTTGGCAATGTCGCGGTCAGGAGGCAAGCCGGTGAAAAACATACAGGAGTACGAGCGGGCGCACAGGGTGCCCATGTCACCGGATAAGAACGGCCAGCCCAGGCCGGGGTACAGGCACGACTTTCCGGATTGCCAGCACTTCGTCTACCTCCTCCCTCGCGCCGATGCAGAGGAAATGCAGGTGGGTGTATTGATTGATACCAATCATCTCTCCCGCTTCTGAAGAACGAAATTGGATAACATGTGGTTACTAACTTTCCGTATTCATTTGCCCTGGTCTTTGCTGTTGTTATTCTACAAGCGCCGTGAGCAAGCGGAGTTGGCGAAGAAGGCGTTGGCGGAGAAGGACGCGGCAGCACGGAAGGCGGCAGCACGGAAGGCGGCAGCGCTAGAGGAGCAGAAGGCAGCGCTAGAGGCGTTTTCGCGGGAGGCCACAGCACGGAAGGCCGCACCGAAAGCGGCAGCGCAAGAGGCAGCGGAGTTGGCGAAGAAGGCGTTGGCGGAGGAGGAGGCGGCAGCACGGAAGG